TCCATAAGCTTGGTCAGGTTGCCTGGTGCTGAGAGCCATAGCCAAGTAGGAATGGCTCGTGATTTTGTGCCCAGCCAGACTGCGGCAGCCTGGGCTGACTGTTTAAATGTGGCCCCTTATCTCACCCAGGCATCCACTGCCTGGTGACAGTCCTCGGAGCCTCTTGGGGATTCCACTATCATATTTTCCAAAGCCACCCCAGGATCTCCTTTCCTGACACCCTCAACCAGACATGATTTCTCTCTTCTAAGCTGTCATAGCTTATGCTAACCTCATGGCTCTCATCTCTCAGCCTCAGAAGAGCCGGGTCGACTTGAACCATTTCACTTTCACATCTCTTGGGATTGAATCCATTCATCATTTTATTTTGGTGCCCAGTACACAGAGCCTGGGGTACTTGACATCAAATAGATGTCCAGTGACTAGTTCTTGAATTAAATGGGACAACTTTTCAACAAAGAAACTCTTTTTTTTTCCTTTTTTCTCTTTAGTGTTGCTGGTGATTGAACCCAGAACCCCACACATGCTAGGCAAGCACCTTACCCCTAAACTACACACCTGACCAAAGGAAAAACAAAATTTTTTTTGAACCAACAGTTTCATCAGCTGCAAATTTGGAGGGAGTGGTTTAAGCATAATAAAATGTGCAATGCTTGTTATTAGTTTTCTATTGCCGAAAAATTGCATTGACATACATTTAGCAGTTTAAAACAGTAGATACAAATTCTCTCATAGATCTGTAAGTCATAAGCTCAGCACAGCTTAGATGGGTTCTTTGTTGATGACATTCCTCCTGAACAGAGTCAGAAAGGATACAGGGGTTGTTCGAGGGCCAACCTCAAGCAGCATGCCATCCTGTGAAGTAGGAAGGGAGGTAATTTTACTGTCATCTTTGCAATGGGAAGTCATAGCTTGAAGTTAGTTGGAAAGTTTGTCACTTACTTCCTGGAGATATTTTTCTTATTAGTCAGAATTTTTAGTATTTTTTGAAAATTTATGTATGTTATATCTTATATATTTTTATATTTATCCAAAGCTAAAAGGGATGAAGAAGTTGTGGGCCATCAGGATGAAGAGAACTTCTGGGGCAGAGCACAGAGAAATTTATCCAACCTCTATCAGACATGCATGTTAAAATATTTGTAGAAATAATCTCATCTAAAGTGAAAACTATTTAGGAAAATGTAGATACTATTCGGGTCATTGTGGAAGCAGTGCTAACATTCTGTCCCTTTGGATGACACCTATGCACATCTGTGCCTGTCCCTCATCTGTGCCTCATTTGCTAGGTTAAGTTGAGCTTCTGCTTCCCCTCCCCCATAAGGTGAGGGGCAGATGGGTATAATTTTTAAAGTATTACACACGTGAAAGTCTGTACAGCACTGTCACTACTCAGACCCTGGCCCTGTCTATGAACAGTTATGTTACTGCAGAATCTTGGCACGAGCCTCCCTCTACTGGTTAATGAGAGCCTAACAGGGTTTCACATTTTGATGTCTCCTAGTGACAGTGACAGATAAAAGAGACATAGAAGACTTAATTCCATTTTATATGCCATTCCATATTCGTTGGCTAATTTAGGCTTCTTCATAGTTATATGATGTAATCTTGACAGTCAATAGGTAACTCAAGTTGGTTCAAGTCAGGCTACTTGTTTGTTCTTTGTTTTTTTCTTGAGACAGGGTCTAAGTTGCTTAGCACCTGGCTAAATTGCTGAGGCTGATCTTGAATATGCAACCCTCCTGCCTCAGCCTCCAGAGCCACTGGGATTACAGGGCATGTACACCACGCCCAGCTTCAAGCCGTGTTTTAAATTTCAAGGGGATCTATGTTCAATCTCTTCATTCCTACTTCTAACCAAAGGGGCTGCTCCTCTCTTCTTCCTTCCTTCCTCATTTGGCTCTGTGCCAAGATATTTCCTCTTGGTGACATCTGGTCCACGTCCTAGCACAACAGAAAGGGGGTTGCCGAAGCCCCCAGCTATATTGGTCAGTTACGGCTCTACCAAAGCTTGAGGTCTGAGACGGTGCAGGGTTAGCAGGGATCTGACAAGGATGTTGGGCTTGAACATCTTACCAAGTCTCTTAGTTTAAGTGTGTCCTCTTCTGTTGGTAAAGGAAAGAGCCGTTTCATTTGTATGTGATTCGCTCGGAAACAGAGAAGTGCTATGATTTTGTTTGATTTGAATTTTTTCTTAGAACCTTGAATTTACATGGCTTCTATCTTTTTTTTTTCTTTCTTCCCTTTCATAACCAGATCTCTAAGGCATATCCAGCTCAGAAACGTGCCTGCACCATTTCTGAATGTCATCCGTGGTCCCATGTATGTTTGAGTACCTTCCTTTCTCCCTCCCACCCTTCATTTTCGCTGTATTGAGGTCCACTTTGCACAATATAACATCCACCTGCTGAAAGTGTGCGGTTCAGTGGCTTCTAGTTTATTTCTACTTTTGCAACCGTTGCCACTCCCTAATTTCACAGATTTTCATCAAGAGAAGCTCCACATCCATTAATACTTTATTCCCATTCCTCTCCACTCCCTCAGCCCAAGGCAACCACCCATCTCCCTTCTGTCTCTGTGGATCTGCCTGTCTTGAGCACTTCATGAACATGGAGTAACAGAGTAGGTGGTCCTTTGGGACTGGCTCTTTCATTTAGCGTGGTGCTTTCAAGGTCATCAATGCAGAGGGTGTCAGTACTTCACCGCTTTTTATGGCCAAATAATGTCCTATTTTACAGGATGGTGCAGATGGACCAAGTCTCTCCATTTTGCTTCATCAGCTTTCAGTGCTCCAAGTCACCAGACCTCTGACTTATTCTTGGTATTGTCCCCTCAGGAGAGAACATATTTCCCTCTGGGAAAGATTTTATCTGTGTTTCACCACAGCTGGTCCCAAGTGTCTTATTCTTTTTAATGATCATTCCAATATCTGAAGACTTTGGACATTTTTTTTTTCTTCCTTGCTAGTTTTCAGTTATGGCGGCTTGATTCTGCATAATGTAAAATTTTCTTTTTTTTACGATGAACCATTTTTCATTTGTTTACTTAAACATGATCTGGGAGAAATCTTACTTCCTTACACTGAGAGCATAGCCTTGTCGGTTTTCTGTATAATCACCTTTGAGACGCCAGGACATACCCTCACCCTGGCCCATCACCACCCAGGGTGGTCTCCATAGCAGAAGCTTAGGGCCTGCTACTTCAGCTGGACTGTCCTCAAGAAGGACATGAAGGCACTTGTTCTCTTCTCTAGTGTCCTGGTTTCACTTCACTCCGGGATTACTTATTGCTCATTTCCATAAAGTAAATGGAAATACGTATAAAAATGATTTCTATTTTAAAGCCAGCATTTCAATTATTTCAGACATGTTTTATTACCCTAGTGCCACATGCAGAAACCCTTGGCAAACTTCATTTTAAATTGTTCTCTTAACTGTATTTTCAATCCCCCTTTTTAAAAACTATTATTAGCGTTTATTGCATATTTTAAGTGAGATAATCGTTGTCTTCAAGGTCTTTTAGGGCCTAACGTTGCCATTCTTCTTGTGTTTTTTTAATCCCCATTTCCTGGTGTATTTTGAGGTTTGTGTAAATCAATTTTCATTGAAAGTTTATTTGGAAGAATTGTTTAGAGTCTGGGTTTACACTATCTCTTAAAATCCTTAAAAGAGAACTTGTAATTGGTTCTGGCTAGTTTGGACTTAAGGACACTTCCTACCTGGCACTGCTTTAAATTGTCACTGAAAGATTCCGTGACCTCTATAGATAGTGTGAATTCAGACCATCAGCTTCCATTAGGGTGCATGGTCACATATTCTCAGTTTACTGAGATAGTCAATATTTTCTTTCTTGTGAAATTGAACTTTTCCTTTTAATTTCCTCTTGCACTGAGTAGTAGTCCCCTGGACTCTCAGATGCATGTCTAGGTCTCCTGTCAGACTTCAGAAGTCCCTGGCTTTGTCTCCCTGTTGCAAAGTTTCATGGGTCTGTCAGAAAATAGGCCAATATTTCCAATGTGAAAACATCTTCAGGGTTGCCGTTGCTTTCAAGATTCCTGATTTTACTTAATACACATTTGCATACTAAACAGTTTCCTTCTTTTCTGACCTGCTTAGAAAAGTATTTTAAGTTATTTTCTAAAAATACATTTCATCAGCCAGGCACAAGGGCACATGCCTGTAATCCCAGCTACTGGGGAGGCTCAGATAGGAGGATTGCAAGTTTAAGGCAACTTAACAAGACCCTTTCTCAAAACGATATATGTAAATATTTTCAATATATATCTTTGTTTGTAGCATTGGGTACATTTATACCATCCAGTCTGCCATATTAACAGAAATGTAATTTTTCAATATGTGGTCTAAGGGATTCCTTCTTTTCTTTTTATTTTAACTTTCCAAGGACTGGAGAGTACCATAAAAATTCCTGTGTTTATTCACTTACAAACAATCCCTATTTTTGTTCTAAAAATAAAATACAAAAAAAAATTTTAGACCAAACTCCTTATGACATATTTCCTTGGCAAAGATGTTAGGTCAAAATCTAAAATTACACTTCTCTCCACATTCCTGCCTCAACTGATTGGAATTTGCCTAGGCACCCTGCGCGATTGAAGTCTGGAACAAAGTAGTCATTATACTGCTTGTGATGTAGTGCATGAGAAAGACCAATGACCTCGTGTTCAGTCCCATTTCCTTTGGCCTGAAATCTGAAGTTCCAAAAGAATGTGCGAGGGTCAAAAACCAAAGAACTGAAGGTTGCCGCTTTATACAAATTGATATACTAACTGCCTTGTAGAGTTCTTGCTGGTGTAGGAGAGTCAACTGTCAAGACGGAAAGCAGCCATGGGATTTACATGGCACTGAGCCAGTCCCAGAGTTAGATGGGTTGACTTGGAATTCTGCCATAGCATCAGTGAGAGGGAATCACATTAAATGCATTTCCCTTGCACAGTCTAGAATCTTCCAGTCAGCAGGGTCATTAGTCTACCAGACTTTGAATTAACAGTGGCCATGGAAAAACACTTTCTTCTCCTTACACCTCTTAATAGCATCTTTAATTTCCCTGTTCCTCAGACTGTAAATCAAAGGATTCAACATGGGAATCACCACCGTATAGAAGACTGATGCCATCTTGTCATAGCCCAGAGAATCATCAGAGCTGGGATGCATATAGACAAAGAGACCTGATCCAAAAAAGAGAGTAACTGCTGTCAAGTGAGAAGCACAGGTATTGAAGGCCTTGGATCTGCCTTCCACTGAGCTGATCTTCAAGATGGTGGCAATGATATAACCGTAGGAGACCATGATGACTAAGACAGATGTCACACCGAAAATCACTGCTATCACAAACTTCATGATATGCAAGGAAAAGGTTTCAGAGCAGGATAGGACCAATAACTGAGGCAGGTCACAAAAAAAATGGTTGATGACATTTGGTCCACAGAAATTGAGCTGAAGCAAAGCACACAATTGGATCAATGAACCAAAGCTGCCAGTTACATAGGCTCCCACCACCATCTGCACACAGAGAGTGGGGGACATGACGGCTGTGTACAGCAGGGGATTGCAGATGGCAGCGTATCGGTCATAAGCCATGGCTGCCAGAAGACAGCACTCAGTCAGACCCAGGCTGGAGAAGAAGAAGTACTGCATGGTGCACCCCAGAAAGGAGATGGATCTGTGCTTCTGGAAGAAGCCTGAGAGCATTTTGGGGGTCGTGGAGGTCACATAGAAGAAATCTAAGAAGGATAAATTGCTGAGGAAGAAATACATGGGTGTATGAAGGTAGGGGTCCAACCTAATTAGGATGATGAGGCCCAGGTTCCAGACCACTGTTGAGAGGTAAGTTCCCAAGAAGACTATAAAGAGAACAGTCTTGAGCTTGGGAAAATCTGAAAATCCCAAAAGAATAAAGTTGATTGTTGTATTATTCCTTCCTCCAGTCATTATCTTGGAACTTCTTAAATCTGCAGAAAGGTTCTTGGGTTAAAAATGCACTATTTTAATATTATGGAACATTCTTATTTTAATATAGTTTCATAGATTTAGACAAACGTTTATCAATATTCAAGCTAACCTTGGTAATATAAAACTTATTTTTAAAACTACTGGAAATTCCATTTTTTACCTACTCTTAATAATTTGGGTTGTAGTCTTGCAATTTTTTTTCTATACACACAAACATAGAGACGTTGCCAAAATTCTGTCTAAAAGTTGATACCAATTTACAGTATTATCAAGATTTTCTGACAGTGTTTCTTGCCGTCCTATTATCAACACAGCCTATATTATTTAGTATTAATCTTTGACAATATTACAGGTAAAAATTATTTCGTTGTGTTTCATTCACATTTACTTTACTGACTTGCTCATATAGATAATTTTTACATTTGTTTATTTGGTTATTCATTATTGATTTTAGGAGCTGTCTACTTAAAGAATGATATAATTCATTGTCCCTCATACCATGACAATTATTTTTCAAGTTCATGATTTATTATTAACATGGTTTACATTATATTTTACTGTACAGATTCATTTTATTTTTAGGTCCTGGCCTTGGTATTATACTGAAAAAGATTTATTCACATGATCCAATCGACTTTGACCCACATTTTTTTTTAGTTTGTTTATATTTACATTAAATTTTTGTTGGATATTTTAATAACTAATAGGAATTATAAATCTGAGATTTTGGTTTTGGTTTTCCAAAATTAATTGCCACTCATCCCAACCCAATTAATTAAATGATTTCACTTTACGATGAAGCCATTTGTGGAATTTCTATTGTGCTCATTCTGCTCAGTTTTCTTTCTTTTTTCTTTTTATTTTTGTGATACTGGAGATTTATCCTACATGGGCTTTCCCACTGAACAACAACTTCAACCCTTTTAATTAGTTAATTTATTTATGGCTTTTTAAAAATTTGGTTCTTTTTAGTTATACATGATAGTTTTAATTTTATTTTGAAACCAGTTCTCACTAAGTTGCTGAGGCTGGTCTTGAACTTGAAATCTTCCTGACTTGGCCTCCAGGTGTGCATCACCACACCCAGCTATTCTGTTGGATTTTAAATCTCTCAGTTAATGTGCCATCTGTTCAGTCCTGCACCAAATTTTTAAATTTCTTATACTTTATTAATAAATTATAGTACTTTTTTTTTGGTACCAGGAATTGAGCCCCGGAGGGCTTATCCACTGGGCCATATCTCCAGCCCCCTTTTTTTAAAATTTATTTTTTTAATATTTATTTTTTAGTTTTCGGCGGACACAACATCTTTGTTGGTATGTGGTGCTGAGGATCGAACCCGGGCCACACGCATGCCAGGCGAGCGCGCTACGGCCTGAGCCACATCCCCAGCTCCCTTTTTTATTTTTTATCTTGAGACAGGATCTTTCTGAGTTGCTTAGGGTCTTGCTAAGGTGCTGGGGCTGGCTTTGAACTTGCAATTCTCCTTCCTGTGCATCCTGAGTAGCTGGGATTATAGGCATGGGCCACTGTGCCCTGCTGTACATTTTGATAGCTGTGAAACATTCTCTCATTTTTCCACATTGAGATCATTTTGATGGTTCTCATACTTATACCTTCGGATCTTTATAATGAATCTATAAAAGTAAATAAATATGATCTTACTGCATTTCTTTTTTTGCTAATTTGGGGAGAACTAACAAAAATATTTTCATTTTTCTGAGATGTCAAGTAAAATTATAGAAGAAATAACACCATGTTATAAATATAATATTAGGGTTATTGGACTTGATGGAAGCGACTGAGTCTAGTGACACATGCTGAGTTCCAAGTTCTGTCCCTGCATTGCCCTGACTGCTCTGTGCCTTCTGTTTCCTCACTGCAAAATACAATAAGTGTAGCTATTCTCCTTGCATCGAAGAGACTTTTTTTTGTGCTTAAAAGAGCAATGATCATGACAGGAAAACACATTGAAAGAAGAGTAATCTGATATTCTACATTATTAATGTGATTTTAATACTCAATAAAGAGGATTTAGGCTTAACCTGGAAAGAGAAGATCACACCAAATCAATACCATCTATCAGTGTACACAGTTGGCCTCAGTAAGATTCAGACTGTATTCCGACAGTAAGATCTGAGTCACTTGCTGTATATGCTGGAACACCTTCAGTAAGGACAGAAAGAGTCCATCAGCTTCATTTATAATGAATTTATATTTTAAGAAATTAAACAAAAGATTCTTTGGATTCTTTGGAAACACTACCATACTATTTCCATACTATATTTTTCCTTGTCCTTGGGATACATTTGTTCTGGAGACCCTGAATCTCCAAGAATATTTTTGAGATTTTAGGAAAGGTTTTCAGTGAATTTGATCTGGTTTTGATCTTTGATTTTTTTTTTTTTTGGTACCGAGGATTGAACCCAATGATTCACATCCCCAGTCCTTTGTATATTTTGTTTTAGACAGAGTCTTGCCAAATTGTTTAGAGCCTCGCTAATTTGCTGAGGCTGGCTTTGAACTCACAGTCCTCCTGTCTCAGCCTCTCAAGCCATTGGGATTACAGGCATTTACCACCGAACCACACCCAGCTTGATCTTTCACATTTTTTAGTGAAAAGATTTTTTAAATAAAAAAATAGGAACAAATTAAAATGCATATTATAATACACTTTTTCTAATTTACTGATGAACAAGAGAAATTGAAATGAAAATATTTAGGTAATGCCTGTTGCTGCTGCTGATGATAATAATGATAATAATATCCAGTAGTTGCCCAGCATGGTGGAGCATGACTGATACCCCAGCAGCTCCAGAGGCTAAGGCAGGAAGACCCAAGTTCAAGGCCAGTGTTAGCAATTTGGCAAGGCCCTAAACAACTTATGAGACCCTGTCTCAAAAAATCAGAAAACGCTGAGGATGTGGTTCAGCTGGGGATGTTAGATTGAACCCAGTATCAAAAAAAAAAAAAAAACACATCGATAATACCCAGTAATCCCATTAATAGAGAATGGTTCTATAACTAGACAAATAGAAAGGCTATTTCATGCTGATTCCTGCAGTTATTTCTACTTCATTTCCTTCTGTGTTCTGCTTTTACTTCCCATGGTCCATTCAGGACTAAAGATACAGCCCAGAAAGGTAAAGAAAATGCAGCTCCTTCGCTTCCCTTCAAGCCTGGGATGGAATCCTGCTCAAGTGCAGTTTAATAACCACCCATGACTTCAAGGGATTGACATCAGCAGCAGTCCAGCCTGAACACATTAAGGAACAAAATTACTATTCTTCTAAAGCTTTTTTTTTTTATGATGGAAATTCACTGCAGAAACGATGTTTTCAGAGCCCCCCATAAAAATAAAATTTATGTAAAAACAATTTCAGCATTTGAAAATAAAAAAATAAAACCAGTTGTTCAATGTGGAAACACTGTTTTCTCTACTTTTGGAGAACTAACAAAGAGCAGTAATAAACTATTCATATACTTCAGCCCAAGGGAACAGTATATGGTTCCAAGAGCTGTTGTAAACTCAGTTAAATTACAGATCATAATTCCACTCTTCTTGTTTTCTTTCTCTCTTTATATGACGTTATGTTTTCTAAATAAAATTTTATGTCCTATGAGCCAAATGGTTTGATTTAGTCCTCTTTCCTAATAAAGCTGAAATTAAATCATTATGCATTAGTCACAGAAATTGTTTGTTGTTTTGCAAACAATACAATTTTTGTGGAATACCTAACATCTGCAAGATGCCAAGTAAGACTGTCAACTTGGGAAGCAGCGGAAGGAAGATTAAATAAGTACTTTAAATAACTCTTGGAACAATTCATTCTTGCTCTTTGTATATTTACAGAAAGACAAAGAAATAGGTGTTTTAATATGAAGAGATAAGTACACAGTGTACAAAGTGTATCTTCTTGCCTACTCTGGAACTTTCTCTAATATGAATTTGGAGTGTCTTCTTCTAACTCCCACAGTACCTGCATTTTTTTTCTGATACAATAAAAAACTTATTGCTCTTATTATGAGTTTCCCCCATTAGACCTTAAGCTGTACTTTCAGGCAAGTATAAATTAAGAAACAATTTCATTAACACCTAATATGTCACTTATATATTGCTGTATAAAAAAATATCAGCTCAAACATATTTGCTTAAAACATCGGTGAGGGGCTGGGGTTGTGGCTCAGGGGTAGAGCGCTTGCCTAGCATGCTTAGGGCACTGAGTTCTATTCTGAGCACTACATAAATGTAAAATAAAGATATTATGTCCACTTAAAAGTAAAAAATAAAAATTAAAAAATCAGTCAGTGATCATTTCTCATGATTCTCTTGGTTGACTGGATAGTACGTAAGCTGGCCTCCCTTTGGTCCCTCCTGTAGCCATGGACTGCTCGGATGACTACACTGTCTAGTCAGATAGGGCTGGGAAGTCCAACACAACCTCCCGCACTTGATTTGGGCTTCACCTGGGATGCCTGGAATGGCTAGGATGGCTGAGGTCCTTTCTCTCATAGTCTTTCACCCTCTATTCTTCTAAGCATCATTTCAGGATTCCAAGACAGCAAGCTTCCATCGCAAGTATTTATCTGACCTTTGCCTGCACTATACTTGTTGGTGTTTAGCCAAATTAGGTCATATGGGCAAACAAAGACTCAATCCGGTGGGGGACTATGAAAGGACGTGTGTACAGGGAAATGCAGTTCACTGATGTCCATTAATGTCACAATGTACAGCATCTAGGTTTAAAGCAGTAGCTGAACTGAATGTTATAGGTACCTAATAAATACAGTGAAATTGTAATTCGTTCAACTACTTCTGGGAAGAATGTAGAGGAAGTGTTTGCTCTCTATAAAGGGAATTACTTTTTTTCAAACAAACAGCCAAAGTGTCTTCAATCAAAAGGAACAATGAGACAATGTCTCGGGAACAGACAGAGCATTTATTGGTTGTTCTTGGCTTTTGAAATGGAGAGAATTCA